TTAGGGACACTAAAAAGAAAGTTAACTGATTTTTGAATTTTATTTCAGTTTAATATGGGAAAAAAGTCAGAATTTTGACCTTAATCTCAGAATTCTGACTTTAATCTCAGAATTCTGACTTTAATCTTAGAATTCTGACTTTAATCTCAGAATTCTGACTTTAATCTTAGAATTCTGACTTTAATCTTAGAATTCTGACTTTAATCTCAGAATTCTGACTTTAATCTCAGAATTCGGACTTTAATCTTAGAATTCTGACTTTAATCTTAGAATTCTGACTTTAATCTCAGAATTCTGACTTTAATCTTAGAATTCTGACTTTAATCTCAGAATTCTGACTTTAATCTTAGAATTCTGACTTTAATCTCAGAATTCTGACTTTAATCTCAGAATTCTGACTTTAATCTCAGAATTCTGACTTTAATCTTAGAATTCTGACTTTAATCTCAGAATTCTGACTTTAATCTTAGAATTCTGACTTTAATCTCAGAATTCTGACTTTAATCTCAGAATTCGGACTTTAATCTTAGAATTCTGACTTTAATCTTAGAATTCTGACTTTAATCTCAGAATTCTGACTTTAATCTTAGAATTCTGACTTTAATCTCAGAATTCTGACTTTAATCTTAGAATTCTGACTTTAATCTCAGAATTCTGACTTTAATCTTAGAATTCTGACTTTAATCTCAGAATTCTGACTTTAATCTTAGAATTCTGACTTTAATCTCAGAATTCTGACTTTAATCTCAGAATTCTGACTTTAATCTTAGAATTCTGACTTTAATCTCAGAATTCTGACTTTAATCTTAGAATTCTGACTTTAATCTCAGAATTCTGACTTTAATCTTAGAATTCTGACTTTAATCTCAGAATTCTGACTTTAATCTTAGAATTCTGACTTTAATCTTAGAATTCTGACTTTAATCTTAGAATTCTGACTTTAATCTCAGAATTCTGACTTTAATCTTAGAATTCTGACTTTAATCTTAGAATTCTGACTTTAATCTCAGAATTCTGACTTTAATCTTAGAATTCTGACTTTAATCTCAGAATTCTGACTTTAATCTTAGAATTCTGACTTTAATCTCAGAATTCTGACTTTAATCTTAGAATTCTGACTTTAATCTTATAATTCTGACTTTAATCTCATAATTCTGACTTTAATCTTAGAATTCTGACTTTAATCTTAGAATTCTTACTTTAATCTCAGAATTCTGATTTAATCTTAGAATTCTGACTTTAATCTTAGAATTCTGACTTTAATCTCAGAATTCTGACTTTAATCTTAGAATTCTGACTTTAATCTTAGAATTCTGACTTTAATCTCAGAATTCTGACTTTAATCTTAGAATTCTGACTTTAATCTTAGAATTCTGACTTTAATCTTAGAATTCTGACTTTAATCTTAGAATTCTGACTTTAATCTCATAATTCTGACTTTAATCTTAGAATTCTGACTTTAATCTTAGAATTCTGATTTTAATCTTAGAATTCTGACTTTAATCTTAGAATTCTGACTTTAATCTCAGAATTCTGACTTTAAGCTTAGAATTCTGACTTTAATCTCAGAATTCTGACTTTAATCTCAGAATTCTGACTTTAGTCTCAGAATTCTGACTTTAATCTTAGAATTCTGACTTTAATCTCAGAATTCTGACTTTAATCTTAGAATTCTGACTTTAATCTCAGAATTCTGACTTTAATCTTAGAATTCTGACTTTATTCTCAGAATTCTGACTTTAATCTTAGAATTCTGACTTTAATCTTAGAATTCTGACTTTAATCTCAGAATTCTGACTTTAATCTTAGAATTCTGACTTTAATCTCAGAATTCTGACTTTAATCTTAGAATTCTGACTTTAATCTTAGAATTCTGACTTTAATCTCATAATTCTGACTTTAATCTTAGAATTCTGACTTTAATCTCAGAATTCTGACTTTAATCTTAGAATTCTGACTTTAATCTTAGAATTCTGACTTTAATCTCAGAATTCTGACTTTAATCTTAGAATTCTGACTTTAATCTCAGAATTCTGACTTTAATCTCAGAATTCTGATTTAATCTTAGAATTCTGACTTTAATCTTAGAATTCTGACTTTAATCTCAGAATTCTGACTTTAATCTTAGAATTCTGACTTTAATCTTAGAATTCTGACTTTAATCTCAGAATTCTGACTTTAATCTCAGAATTCTGACTTTAATCTTAGAATTCTGACTTTAATCTTAGAATTCTGACTTTAATCTCATAATTCTGACTTTAATCTTAGAATTCTGACTTTAATCTCAGAATTCTGACTTTAATCTTAGAATTCTGACTTTAATCTTAGAATTCTGACTTTAATCTTAGAATTCTGACTTTAATCTCAGAATTCTGACTTTAATCTCACAATTCTGACTTTAAGCTTAGAATTCTGACTTTAATCTCAGAATTCTGACTTTAATCTCAGAATTCTGACTTTAGTCTCAGAATTCTGACTTTAATCTTAGAATTCTGACTTTAATCTCAGAATTCTGACTTTAATCTCAGAATTCTGACTTTAATCTCAGAATTCTGACTTTAATCTTAGAATTCTGACTTTAATCTCAGAATTCTGACTTTAATCTTAGAATTCTGACTTTAATCTCAGAATTCTGACTTTAATCTCACAATTCTGACTTTAATCTTAGAATTCTGACTTTAATCTCAGAATTCTGACTTTAATCTCAGAATTCTGACTTTAGTCTCAGAATTCTGACTTTAATCTCAGAATTCTGACTTTAATCTTAGAATTCTGACTTTAATCTCAGAATTCTGACTTTAATCTTAGAATTCTGACTTTAATCTCAGAATTCTGACTTTAATCTTAGAATTCTGAATTTAATCTCAGAATTCTGACTTTAATCTCAGAATTCTGACTTTAATCTCAGAATTCTGAGTTTAGTCTCAGAATCCTGACTTTAATCTCAGAATTCTGACTTTAATCTTAGAATTCTGACTTTAATCTCAGAATTCTGACTTTAATCTTAGAATTCTGACTTTAATCTTAGAATTCTGACTTTAATCTCAGAATTCTGACTTTAATCTCAGAATTCTGACTTTAATCTTAGAATTCTGACTTTAATCTCAGAATTCTGACTTTAATCTTAGAATTCTGACTTTAATCTCAGAATTCTGACTTTAATCTTAGAATTCTGACTTTAATCTTAGAATTCTGACTTTAATCTCATAATTCTGACTTTAATCTTAGAATTCTGACTTTAATCTTAGAATTCTGACTTTAATCTCAGAATTCTGACTTTGATCTCAGAATTCTGACTTTAATCTTAGAATTCTGACTTTAATCTCAGAATTCTGACTTAATCTTAGAATTCTGACTTTAATCTCAGAATTCTGACTTTAATCTCAGAATTCTGACTTTAATCTCAGAATTCTGCCAGCTAACAAACATGTTAGCATCAAGCCATAGCCATGTCTGTTTTAGAGACTAGCTCTCTTGTTTTAATGACCTTCTGCTCCTCCATTAATGAGGGGACCCCTCGGCCACGTAAAAAGTTGCCTAATTCTGTCATTTTCCACCAATGTGTCACTGGCCACCTCAACCAACTCACATCTTTGTCAGTGAAGCTGAGCGCTCCACATCTCTACCTTCATGGTGCCCATCTACATTAAGATCCAAAATTCTGAGATTAAAGTCAGAATTCTGAGATTAAAGTCAGAATTCTGAGATTAAAGTCAGAATTATGACTTTTTTTCCCATGTGAAACAGAAATAAAATTTAAAAATCAGTTAACTTTTTTTTGGTGTTTTTTTTCAGTGGCCCTAATCCTCTTCCGTAGTTTGCTGCTAGAATCAAAGATAAAACATTAAAAATTCAAGAAAGTTTTACTCCCCAACTAGAAAAAAAATAGGATGCTCCAGGTTACTGGACGTTTGAAGAAATCCCCCCGAAGAAGTTTCCTAAAGAGCAGATTAGAGCTGTCTAATGCCCCATTTACACCAGTCCTCTGAAACCGATCCATGCCGAGTTTAGACCAACCATCTGGGGTTTTGGGTCCCCTGGCGCTCGCCTCAGTGCCTTGGGGGGGCGGGTCTTCGGCTCTTCACAACCACTATTGAGCATTTTTCCTTTGAATAAACTTGGATAAAGTGCACTCTCACATTTAACTACAGCTGTTTGGCTCCAGGTACTTAGAGATTCACTTCCATACAGAAAGCCCATATTCTGATCTATAGCTACCACAGTATACATGTCAGATTAAATAATACTACTTATACTTCAGCGATAGTATCTAGGTGTTACTTTATTGTATCTCTAATACTATATCTGTTGGTTGTGCTGTTATTTTTACATCTTTTGCAAATGATGAAGCAGACTGAAGATGTTTTATCATTATCTCCCTTGTATCTCCTCTTTCTTTTTTATCTTTTCTCCTTTTTCCAGTTTTTCCTTTCCTGTTCTACCAAATTGCAGTGTCCATATAATCTGCAAATCTCCCTGCATAATTCTAATAAAGCAATTTATATGCATAAATCAAGCGGAACACTATGGCGATAGCCGTACTGCTCCACTGGTGAAAGTAAAATCTGTTGGGCTCTTTCTGGCGTCAAGACAATTATTCTTATTGCCACATTGCCAGACAGGACACTGTAAAAAATAAAAAAAACGGACTTGTTCCTGCAGAATGACTTCCCTCTGCTTTAATACTTTTTTGTTTTTGTTCTGTTTTATTTAAAGCTGTAAATGGGATCATCTCGCTAATGTTTAAAATGGTATTTTACTGATACAATCCTTCTAAAACGGTCTTTAAATTGATGTTTATTTATTTTAAGGAGACAAAAAAACAAAATGACCAAACTTTTATTTATTATTCTTTATTCGGTTGGTGCTCCAACAAAACAATTAAGAAAGATGATTCTCAGTATGGCTTCTAGTTGGAAGCTGAAAGGAGAAGTTTTGCAGCCACCTACAGCAGCCTCAGGAGCTCCTGAACGTAACTCGGCTCTGATTCACTTCCACAGGACCACTCGGAGGTCCCGATCGGCGCAGCTGCCACCATGGCCCACGAGATCGGCCACAACGTGGGCATGAGCCACGACCATGACGGCTGCTGTGTGGAGGCCACTGCAGAGCAGGGAGGCTGCATCATGGCCGCTGCCACCGGGTGAGTGCCGGGCAGTTTTTATCCAACCGCGATGCAGCCGTGTTTGTTAACGCCATTTATTGATGCTGGACACCAGGCATCCATTCCCGCGGGTCTTTAGCCGCTGCAGCAAGCGGGACTTGGACAACTACTTCCAGAAGGGAGGGGGGATGTGCCTCTTCAACATGCCCAACATGAAGGACCTGGTGGGAGGCAAGAAGTGCGGAAACGGCTTCGTGGAGGAGGGAGAAGAGTGCGACTGCGGGGAACCTGATGTAAGTCGATCGTTTCTGTTATCTGGGATCATTTTAGGCCCAAAAACCTCACATTGTGATGATCTGCCCTGATAGCTGGCCTTAACAGTTCATTTAACTCATCTAACTCTGCCCGGTCTCTAGTTATCGCTCATCTCCTCTCAACTTTGTTAATTGTTTTTTAAATCACGCATTAAATCAGTAAATGGACCATATAGTGACTCTTTAAAGTATAATATTCTCGCCTCAAATGATCTTAAAACGCACTTTAATTGAACAACAGCAACAGAAAGAGAACTTTTAACCGCAGTGCACGCTTATGTTGTGCTTTCACCCTCAAAACCCCGCCCACTTTTCATCCACACATTCAAAACACATCTCTGCGTTGTGATTGGCCCGCCAGATTTATGGCCTGGGGCATTGATTGAGGCTAGACCAGTCGCAGGCAAAAATGATTTTGGCCGCCTGTGGGTGGGGCTAGTTTAATAGGCTAGAAAAGACTTGGGCCGTTTCTCAATTCACGAGAACGCGAGTACATACTCGCGTTCTCGTCAAGTCCGTTCTTGGCGAGAACGCAGGAAGATCGGACTTGACGAGAACGCGAGTACGCAAGCACGTATGTGTATTGGAACAGAAGAGTACTCGTGACGTCATCACATGCAACGTTCTTTAGCATTTCTTTAACAGTCAAAACTATTTATTCCCTACACAAAACATTTTGAAAACATTTTTAATTTCTAAAGCTTAAAAAACATTAAAAAAATTATCGAACCGTGGGTATAAAACCAGCAATGGCGGGCCGAATATAAAGCAAAAAAACGCCATCAGAATGAGCGGTGGTTCACACATAACTAGACCGAGAGAAGTGCACTACAGACGGGGTAAATTTAGCCCTGGCTGCGGTTACCCTCGGAGGTCTGCTGGTCACTCTGGTCCGCTCAACGTCGGACTTTTTTTTTTTAATTTCGCACTAACTCTGTAAACAGACCACACAGGGAGGCTTCAATGTATAATGTTATCGCCTCAAACGATTTCAAAACATACTTTTGAAGAACAACAGCAGCAGAAAAGGGAATGTTTAACTTAACACTGTGAGCGCTGTCTGGAATCAAGCTGCGGCCGCGGGGCATTCTGGGAAAGCGGTCAGTCTGAAGAACGCACAAGTCTGCTCTGATGCATGCTCGATAAAGAGGGCGGGGCGAGAACAACATCCGGGGATTTGGTGCGTTCTCGAGAATTGGAACGGTACTCGGGCTGAGGCTGATGACGTGTCACGAGTGCACGAGAACGCTCAAGAACGCATATTGAGAAACGGCCTTGGTTAAATTAAATGTTTGTCCGCTGCTTTCTGGTTATTCTCCATATTGAGCAATTCTTAGGCCTCCTGTAAAAAGTGTCTGCAAACAAAAAACTGCCACAATGTTGAAATCAAAAGTAAAGTGTTGCAGCCATGCAAACAGCTAAAAAGCTTTAAGACGTCTTTTTTCAGTTCCTTTAGGCTAAAGGAGCATTGAAAGTTAACTTTCCATGAAACTTTGAGGTTTAATAACTTAAACTCAAACAATGAAACTCTATAAAGGTAAATAACTGTTAATAAAAACGTGTTCATGGATGTATGCAGTTGTAAATCTAAAACATAAACGTGAATAAATTTAGAACTTATCCTTGTTGCCGACTTCATCAGATGTTTTGTATTTGAGAATCGAACTTTACAGAGTAAAGATTACAGATTCACTAGTATTATTCACAGATTTAAAAATGTGAAAGTTATACACGGAATTAAGAAAAAAATACTGTTCATTTTTCAGTTTTTTTTTTTTCATCTACATTTCTTTAAAGAGAGTTTTATGTTTCGTTTCTTAAATCCTGAAACAACATTATTATTCATCTGCACACAGAAGGAGTGTAGAGAGTAAAAACAGTAGAAATAAAGCAATTCTCAACTATCTGTCTAAAAAAAAATAAAATAAAATCTAAAAAAACTTTTAAAGTATTAAATCTAAAATAAATTGAGGAAATAAAAACAAAAAAAAATACAAACTGTGTAAATAATAGATTTTAAATATTACGAGAATAAAGTTGTATTTTATGACAACTCTTACAAGAAGCACTTTTTGTCCATAAATGAGGAATGTCAAGCATCATGTGAAGTAATTAAGTTATTAAGTATTTTTTTTCTGAAAATTAGTGATTTTGTTTTATTGCCCAGATAAGTGAGACGCTTTGCAAATGGAGCAAGACAATTTACATTTAAAATAAGAAAAACAGTAGCAGCCTCTTATTTTTGGTGCATATTATCTAATTACCTTATTTTAAGAGTAAAAATGCTCATTCCATTATTTTCCCGCTCAAATTAAGGGTATATGACAGAGTATTTAGGGCCAGGCTAGACATGTTTTTTTTCCAATTTTGAGAATAAAGTCGTTATGTCATTTGAATAAACTAAAATAATGAGAACAAAGTCGTAAAATTATGAGAACAAAGTCGTAAAATTATGAGAATAAAGTCGTAAAAATTATGAGAATAAAGTCGTAAAATTACAGGAATAAAGTCGTAAATTTACGGGAATGAAGTCGTAAAAATCATGAGAATAAAGTCGTATATTAAAGGAATAAAGTAGTAAATTTACGGGAATGAAGTCGTAAAAATTATGAAAATAAAGTCGTAAATTACAGGAATAAAGTTGTACATTTACGGGAATGAAGTCGTACAAATTATGAGAATAAAGTCGTAAAATTACAGGAAAAAAGTCGTAAATTTACGGGAATGAAGTCGTACAAATTATAAGAATAAAGTCGTAAATTACAGGAATAAAGTTTTAAATTTGCGGGAATGAAGTCGTACAAATTATGAGAATAAAGTCGTAAAATTACAGGGAAAAAGCCGTAAATTTACGGGAATGAAGTTGTAAAAATTATGAGAATAAAGTCGTAAATGACAGGAATAAAGTCGTAAATTTACGGGAATGAAGTCGTAAAAATTATGAGAATAAAGTCGTAAATTACAGGAATAAAGTTGTAAATTTACGGGAATGAAGTCGTACAAATTATAAGAATAAAGTCGTAAAATTACAGGAAAAAAGTCGTAAATTTACGGGAATGAAGTCGTAAAAATTATGAGAATAAAGTCGTAAATTACAGGAATAAAGTTGTACATTTACGGGAATGAAGTCGTACAAATTATGAGAATAAAGTCGTAAAATTACAGGAAAAAAGCCGTAAATTTACGGGAATGAAGTCGTAAAAATTATGAGAATAAACTCGTAAATTACAGGAATAAAGTCGTAAATTTACGGGAATGAAGTCGTAAAAACTATGAGAATAAAGTCGTAAATTACAGGAATAAAGTAGTAAATTTACGGGAATGAAGTTGTAAAAATGATGAGAATAAAGTCATAAAATTACAGGAAAAAAGTCGTAAATTTACGGGAATGAAGTCGTCAAAATTATGAGAATAAAGTTGTAAATTACAGGAATAAAGTCGTAAATTTACGGGAATGAAGTCGTAAAAATTATGACAATAAAGTTGTAAATTACAGGAATAGAGTCGTAAATTTGCGGGAATGAAGTCGTAAAAATTATGAAAATAAAGTCGTAAATTACAGGAATAAAGTCGTAAATTTACGGGAATGAAGTCGTAAAAATTATGAGAATAAAGTCGTAAATTACAGGAATAAAGTCGTAAATTTACAGGAATGAAGTCGTAAAAATTATGAGAATAAAGTCGTAAATTACAGGAATAAAGTCGTAAATTTACGGGAATGAAGTCGTGAAAATTATGAGAATAAAGTCGTAAAATTACAGGAATAAAGTCGTAAATTTATGGCAATGAAGTCGTAAAAATTATGAGAATAAGGTCGTAAATTACAGGAATAGAGTCGTAAATTTACGGGAATGAAGTCGTAAAAATTATGAGAATAAAGTCGTAAAATTGCGAGAATAAAGCCGTATTTTATATCAACTCTTCCAAGAAGCCCTTTCTTCCTTAAAATGAGGAATGTGGAGCATCATGTGAAGTTCTACTTTAGCATCGGTTTGACTAATCAGGAAATCTTTTAGCAGCAGCATCAAACTGGGCAGGATGTCAAAGTGGACTCTGGTTGCTGATTAATGGAGCTGGTCTGACATCATCTGATGGGCGGAGCTCCAAGCTTTCTTTCTGAAACCCGTTGTTGTATGATGACTTTATTCTCGTAATTTTTTAACTTTATTACAACTTTATTTTTGAAATGAAAAAAAAAATCTCTAGCTTGGCCCTAATACTTGTAATAAATGACTCTCCGTACCTTTCAATAAAACCTGCTTTCCATGTTTCTTCCAATAACATTTTAACCCTGCCATTAGTCTCTGTCAATAAAGGGTATTTCTTTCTATTTCTGGAGACTAAAGAAAATAATCCTGTCTGATATTTTCCTACATTTAATCCTACATCGAATGATCGACCCAGCAGTTGAACACAGGGACGCTTCCTGAGATCAGAATGAAGTGTCTGTTCCTGGTAGAGCCAGAGGTTAAGCAGATCTGCTTTGCTTTGTTCAAACATAGAAACGAAGGAAGCAGATTGGTAGCTGACAGCAGCAGCAGCACTGATGACTGCTTGTTATGACTCCCACTCAGAGCCGAGCTGACAGGTCAGGATCACGATCCGACAAGCCACCTCTTCTTAGCATTACAAATGAGATGAGCTTCAGATCATGATTCAATGCTCTAACGTCGACACGCCTCCGTTTCTAACTGGAAAACAAACCAGAAGCCAAATCAAAATCACATTTCCTGCAACTAGAAATATTTGTTATAAAGCTAGAGGCTCTACTTTGTTTGACCCAACGGTGAGGTCGCTCTTTTTATAGCCGAACCTCATTGGTTCTGTTCTTTTTCTAATGAAATTTAGAAAATGTTTCTTAAATCAAGTGTATTTACTGTTAATTTGTGCAGGTAAATAAGATGATTTGTCAATGGAATGAGATTTTTAACTCTTAAAATAAGATAATTAGATAATAATCATTCTAGTTCTTTTTGTGT